CTTGTTTTACTTGAGGACAAGCAAAAACCTAAGTTTGGTGGTGTGATAATTCTATAATTTTGTAAAATTATCATATGATTTTATAGTGTATTTTGGCTTGTTTCTTGAGAAAATCATGAAAATATACTCCTAATTATTGAATTTTCTCATGTGTAGGTAAAATTTAGCAAAATAAGGAAAATGAGGCAAATATGCATTATTTGAAATGATTTTGGATCATTTTGGAAGCAAATAAACAGACTTGGCAGAACCTAGAAGCAATTGGAAATGAACCGAGTCTTACAAGGAATGAGCTGGATTTGAGCTAGTTGAAGATGTTTTGAAGCATGATTAACAAGAGTTCAAGACTTTTTTAAAGTGATCAAGTTGCTACAGAAGTTCATAAAGCTAATGGAAAAAGATTGATGAAATGCTTGCAACAGACCAAGGAAGAAAAGTAGCCTATAGGTGCGGTTTTATGAACTGTTTGGGAGCTGGAATTTTGGTTAATTTTGGCCAATGAATCAGTGGCTAAGTTGGCATTTTCGTGGCCTTTCATTGGTTGAAATGTGAGTAAAAAGATCACAACAAATCGAGATCAATATAAAAAGAAAATGGGCGGCAAAATGCTTAGGCAGTTTTGGAGTAGTTACATGCAATGTGTGAACACAAATTTTGCACTCCAAGATTTGAGGAGAGTAGTGGTTGACATGGCATTTTGAAGATTTCCTATTGGTCAATTAATGAAGCACTTGGATCACTAAAATTCAGCTCAAATCTCCCCAAGAAGTGAAGAAACCGTTGATGACTAGAGAAAAATGGAACATGTAGTTTTGCACTTGCCGTGCTTAGTTGGAGGCTGACTTAGCAAAATGGAAAGCTTATATTGGTCCCAACATATAATCACTTACCTATAAATACCCCATGTAGCCGCCAGTTAAAGGGAGAAGCTTAGAAAGTTCATTAGATTAGAATTTAGATTAGGATTAGATTAAGAGTAGTGAAGATTTATTTGTCTCTGCACATTTAATTTTCTCGCATTTTCTTTCTTTCCAAAAAGCTTTCATTTTCATTTTCTTCTTTAATTTTCCAACACTTTAAAGTTTTTTTAATTGTTCTTCACTTTTACATTTTTTTTAATTATTCTTTACTTTTACTTTGATGTTCTTTAAATTTAGTTTCAGTTACTTGTGGAATTCCTTTTAATTGAGCTTGCATTTTTTTGTTTTTGCAAATTCTGTTTTCCTTTATTTTCTTTGTTGCCAAACACTCAATTTTCTTACACTTTCTCTCTAATTTCCAACACTTGTATTCAAGCTTTGGTTTACATACTCGCTAGCTTTAGGAATCATTTCTTGTTGCAAGCTCTTTAAATTTAACTTGCAATCTCTAGTTTTTAAAGTCTGATTTCAATTCTACCTGTTTGGTTTCGGTTGCTATCTTACTTCAGTTATTTACATTTTTGCATTCAATTTCTGTTCATCTTCCATTTGCATGTTCTTATATTAATTAACTAGCTTGCATTTAAATTTGAGAGCCAATTACCATGAGATTTGAAAAAAAAAAAATCGAAACTTATTGGATGTGAATCCAAAAACTGTTTTGATGATCAGTCCTTAAAGTTTTCTTGACGATTCAAGGCATTTTGGTGATCATTGAGGATGGTTAATGTTACTTCAAGGCAGTGACAGTGCGTATGAGATAATTACTAGCTTGAATCAATCTTGTTCTTCATTTACTTTGTCTTAATTTTGTTTTCTACTTGTTTGTTAAAATTCTTGTTTTGATTTTTCTGTAATTTGCAAGAGGATTTCACTTTGATTTGTGGTTAATTGATTCCTTTAATTTTCATTGTTCATTTACCTATAATGTACTTTACATTCCTTTCTATTTTCACGTTCAATTACTTAATTTTCATACGTTTAATTTTCGGTATTTACATTTACTTTCAATTATGTCTTTGTTTTGTTAAATTTCTGTTTTGAAGTTTTCTACTCGATTCTTGTTCTTTTTGTTTCATTCTTATTTGTTTAATTACTTGCGATTGTATTTGTCAGTTAAATTTTGATTTTGATTGAACCAGCTATGGCTAAGGTGCTATTTTCTGATACTTAGATCTAGATTAATCCCTAAATCAATTCTCGTAGGAACCATAACTCCCTCATTATTTTATTATTTGATATGGTTTATGCATTTACTAATTTTGGGCATCATGAAACAACTCTAGCAAGGGCATATTGCCAAATGTATAGTGGAAAGTCTACACATATTGGGTTGAAACATAGTTATGTTCAACAATTAATTTTTTAGATAGAGTGATGAATATAACTTTTATAAGGTCAAGTCAAAACTTAACAGATCCTTTAACAGAAAGTTTTGGTGGAGATTTAGTTATAAAATAAAAAAAAAAAAAAAAGGAAAACCTCAAAAGGGATTGGGCTAAAGCTCATAAATTAAAGTCATCCATGATGAAAATTCGACTCAATACTTGATATAATAATGTCAAGTCTTGAGTTCAAAGAGTATTTATGTGACTGCTAATACTATAATAAAATATATAATTTCATCCAGGTAAAAATGCTAGGTACCCATAATAGTTAAAAAAAAGGATGAGTATTACATTCTTAATAGACCCTTAAACAAATATGCTAGAGTATTATAGTTACATGAACATTATTTACTTGAATATGAATACGGCCACTTCTAAGAATTTAAGAGATTGGCTTTAATAGTACTTATGAAAAGAGGATACAAACACAAGGCCATAATAAGTGTCACTAGTTACCAATCATTCGTTAGGTGTTAAAATCTTTATGAAATAAGTTCAGTTAACTAAACAAAATAGTTAATTCAAAGCAAAGTCTACCATACAATTTCGGTTAACTTTAATTTATTTTAACTAAGTTAAAGTTCAAATAAAAAGATACTTTCATTTATGTAATTAATTTTCAAAATTATTGCAAATCTAAATTATTTTAAAAATGGTAAGGGATTGTTAGATATTTTCAAATTGAGTTTTGGAAGAAGAAAAGGAAAGGAAAACTATTTAAATTATTAAAAAGAGTAAAAGTCCAATGTAATTAGACTAAAGTGGCTAAAAAGCAAGGTTAATCCTTGGGCTTGGTTTTCCAAACTTTGGTTCATCTTGCATTAAGTAAACAATTAATAAATATTTAACTAGATTATAACCCGTATGATGTATGAAATAATTTTATTTATTTAATATGAATATATATAAATTTATTTTTTAAAAGTTATATTCAAATCTTTAAAACTCATAGCATATATAAATTTTGTATATATTGACTTGTCATTAAAAAATAAACTTGTTGTACAGCAAGAAAAAAACTTATCTTTTCTTTGAATATTTTTGTTTACAATAATATTTATACACCGCTAAGATTATATCAAATAAAAATAAATTATGTCTTACTTAAAAAAATAAATATATATTATCGAATGATAAATTAAATAATAAAAGAAGTAACATACTTGCATTTTAGTAATCTTGACTAAATTATTATGCAAAATATAAAAAATGTCAGAAAATATATGAAAAAAAAATTGAAAAAAATATTATTTTTCATAAGAATGAAACTATAATAACAATAAAATATATTTTGAAAAAAAGTTATAAACAAAAAATAAATAAATGGCAATAGTAATAGAATATATCTTGGAAAAAAGTTATTAAAAAAATATAAAAAATTTTATGTATAACACATTACATTTATAGTTTTAAATTTGTAGAAGAATTCTTTAGTAGTAATTAGAATTAAATAGATAAATTTTAAATTAAGTTTTTAAATTTTAAAATGGATATAATAAGTGATAAAGATAATATTAAATTTTTTACATTTATTTGAAATATAAATGTAATAATTAGCGTTCAAATGGATATAATCGTTTTGAAAATCTTATTATTCAAAAATTTAAGATAGAAAATTTTTTGAATTTTCAAAATCTTATATAAAGTTAAAATTTTAATGTCTTATGTAAATTTTTTAAAAAGATAATTTTTTAAATCAAGATAAAAAATATTGTTGAAAATTTTGGATAAACTTAATTTTTGTAATTTTTAAACATGTTTGAAAGATTTTGATAATTAAATAATTTTTTAAATATGATTATTTGGTAAACAACTAAAATTATTTATTAAAAAAATAAATCTATATTTCATATTTTTAATTTTAAAAAATATACTCTAGATTGATTTAATTTTCAATTACAATTTGAATAATTTTGATATTTGAATAAATTTAAAATTATCTAATTTATAATTAAAAGAAACTATCTTATTTTAAAAAAAAAAAAAAACCATCTTACATGTCATTTAATAAAGTTATCCATATAAGCGTCCATGTGACAAATTTATCTATGTATGTTATTATATAATATATATATATATATATATATATATATTAGATTTATATTATTATTTAAAAAGACATTTAGCACTTGGATATGCGAGATGTGGAATGTAGTGAATAAAATATTATTTTATTTAAAATTAAACTTTTATAATTGCAGTTAAGTGTGGATAATAAAATTTGTTTAAAATAGACAATTAAGCATAAACAAACATATAAATTTGTTAAAAAATAAACAATTTATGTCTATTCAAAATAGATAATTAAATCTATTAAAAATATATCGTTTATATCTATTCAAAATAGATAATTATTTTTTTAAAATAAACAAAACTCTTATTAACAATATAAAAATTTTTTTTGGCTTTTTAGAAAATATATAGAAACAACCTACAGAACTCTCCTTTCTCAAAATAATTGTCATATTTCTTCTATAATGTTTTATTGCAGAAATTTTTTATTAAAGTTTAGTAATCTTGTAATATGCCAATAAATATTTAGTGGATTAATTTCTTCAATATAAAACATAATGAATCATTAAATTTCATTATATTCTCATAATTTTATCACCTTTAACTTTTTTATATATTTATTAAGTAAATATTATATTAAATAATAAAATCTTTATAAAAAAAAGTACTATTACACGTTTTGAAATCTTTCATCAAAATTCTAAAATTTCCAAAAATAGTATTTCGGACTTCTAAATATGTGGACTAACAAGACACGTGCGAACAGTGGCACTTGGGCCCCTTGGCTTTTGATAAGCCTTTGTTTGTATATGACTTCTCAACCGAAAGAACAGAAAAAAAAAAATCTTGGAGACCTCTAAATAGATTATTTTGATTTTAGATATACCAAATTTTAATTCAACCTCTAAATAGATTATTCGGCTTTGTGCCAACAGAACCTTGTATGTTAGCCAACCGCTGCAAGCTTAAAGCTATCATTAGCTAGGAACAGAGAAGAACAATAATAAAAAAAAAGGGGGAAAAACATGTTTTCATGTATTTCAGTTTTATATTTCAAGACTTTCATCATGTGTGAGTGGTATGGCACTGGAATCACTTCCGATTGAGGTGATTTCATTCTCAAATAGTTCTTGATGAGGAGGAGAAAACATAAACGAGGGCTTAGGAGGCATTTCAATGTCTTCGATACGCCCACTCAACATTTCCACAACTCTTATCATTGAGGGACGATCTCTCTGATTGATTTGGATGCACCATAAACCCACCATTATTATCTTCCTTGCTATTAAATAACTCTCTTCCACCACAAAATCAGCTTGTTGCATAATATCCTTCTCTTCCACGAGCTTCTCATAAATCCATCCAGGGAAGTAAGCTTCAGTACTGGAACTAGTACTGCTGGTTATTGGTTTGAAACGCTGCCTCCATCCTACCATCTCTAACAGTAGCATCCCATAGCTATAAACATCAGATTTATGAGAAGGATTCCCGAGATTTCTCATGAAAATCTCAGGAGCAATATAGCCAATAGTTCCTCTTGCACCTGTCATCGTGACATTGCTATGGTTTCGAGAGTATACTTTGGCTAATCCAAAATCAGATATTTTGGGGTTCAAACTCTGGTCTAGCAGAACATTTTGAGGCTTTATGTCAAGATGCAAGATCCGTGATTCACAACCATTGTGCAAGTACTCTATCCCTTTTGCAACTCCAACCGCAATTTCAATAAGCTTAGCCAGTCCGAGCGAACGGTTCACTTCTTCTTTCGACAGTAAATCCGCTAGTGATCCGTTAGACATGTATTCGTAGATAAGAGCTTGTTTTGAACCATCCCAACAGAAACCCAATAAATTAACAACATTAAAATGATGTATCCTACCTATGGTGGCAACTTCTGTAATGAAATTGTGGCCACTACTGTCAGCAGACTTGAACAACTTCACAGCAATGATGCGATCATCAAATAATTTTCCCTTGTAGACATTACCATATCCCCCTTCACCTAGTTTATCCTTGAATCCATTTGTCATCTTCTTGATATCGTTGTAGGAGTAGTTGTTCAACAAATTTGACCTGTACGTTTTAATGAATTCTTTGGCACTTGTTCCATCTGAAGTGGTTTGATTCTTCTCCAAATAGGCACTAAAGATTAGTGAAGCTCTCTTCTTGCAGACAAGTAGGAGGACTATAATTACAACAATCGAGCAACTTCCACTTGCAACACCTGTGTATATATACAAGTTCAGATTAGAAAGCATGCAGTAATTAATAGAAGATGAGTGATTGAAGGAAATCATTTCTGAACAGGCCCTTTTGATGATGAACCACTTCAAACATTATTAGTTTCATATTCTACCATCTCTTTCTAAATTCGATGGATTCCTGCTTCTAAAAGTTTGTATCATTTACCTATAATAACCTTCTGCAGTTTTGAAAGTTTTTGTGGCCTGCAAGGACAGTTAACAAAAATAGAGTTACACCTTGAAAGAAAAATAACTCGTAATAATTTGTAAGTCAATTTAATTAATTTACTACTAACATCGATTTGATTAATTCACCTAACTAATTGCTTATAATAATTTATACTCCACCTTATCAATATATAAAATGGATTATAATATACGACTTTGTGGTACCAGGTCTCGCTGTCATATGAAGAAGATTATTTAGATATTATTTAACAAAAGAATATGAGATGATCATTGGAAGGAGACGTTTACTTGGTGGAGGTACAGCCATCCCGACAGATGCAAACAACTTTTACCGCGTCAAATCCACAACGTCCGTTTGTCTTCTTGCAACTCTCACAATCCTCGGAACTCTTCCATTGCAATGGAAACCCTGCAGCCAACGCTTTAGTCAGCTGACTCGACTCTATATCACCGTTAGCAACACTACTAACATTTGTGAACATGATTATCATATCGGCACTGGATACAGGCACCATAACCAGGTTGCAATCCCTTGGAGTTAACGAATAGTTGAACTGTCGTGGTATTGGACGCGCTTGACTCCTAATCACATTTCTCCAAAGATAAAGCTGGTTTCCTTCATTATTGCAACTGTAGTTAAAAGCGATTTGGTCCATAAAGTCTTGAGAAGGCTCAAGCTGAGATGGGCACTTGAAGAATGTCAAGTTAGTAATCCAAGGAGGGAGCCCAAGAGGGTAGTAATTCTCAATACCAAAGTCAGGAATTGTAAGGTTGCGCAAAGACTGGCATGAACCGGTGGTGAAGTCCCGGATGAGATCAGTATCTACCAAGGTGATCAGATTCACTCCACCTTCATCGGACTCGTTGAGGAAGATGTTTTTGACTTGGTAGAGTTTGCTATTTGAGAGCATGAGCTTGGGAAGTTGGGAAGATTCCTGATCATCGCATATGATTTGGTAGCCAGGGAAGCCGCAGTCTATGGGGCTTGAACCGAAAGTGCGTTGATTAGAGAAGGGGAAGGGGAAGGTTATGTCGCCACACTTGAAAGGAGAACAAAGACTGTAATAGGAGGTGTTGATTTGGGACTGGGTTATTAGGACATGTAAGCAGAAGATTATGGATGACAGGATTACGGTGGGATTGAGCATGGCGGATGACTACCAGGCGGCTGGCTGGTGTTTATGTTTACGTTTCCTTTGCCAGTAAGGGGAATGCTAAGGGCAGTCAACTCTGTCAGGCGCTTTTAGCTCCCAAAAAGCCACATTGTTTCAAGTAAGGAATGCCAAGGACAACCTCGTGCTGTTTTAGCATCCGTTCCCTGCGCACTGGGGACGGCTTCCAAGTCAATGATTTTGATGGACTTCTGAGAATATTGAAAATTCAAAATGATGGGTAATTGGGTAGGTTGGCCTTGCCATTCACACCACAATTATGTTGGACGAAATTTTGGTAGCGTGCGGCTTTAAAAATGAGATTTGTTTTTTTTTTTTTTTTTTTGAAGTATAAAAAATATGTGTAAAAATGTATTTATAATTAAAAATAAAAATAGATTGAAATATGAAAATAAAAAATATATTTTTAATTAAAAAATATATGTATTTTTTTTTGTTGTTTATAAGTTATCATCTTTGAATTTTTTTTTATTGTCATTAATTAATAAATATATATTATATTTATAGTTAAATGCTATTAATAGTAATATTATTAAATATTTTTTTATTTTCTTAATTTTTTTAAATAATTTTATTTTTGTTCATTAAATATATTTTTTAAAAATAATAAATAATAAAAATTATTTTTGAAAAATAAAAATAAAAAACATTTTCTCAATTCAGACACAGCCAGTTTTCCACCAAATGGAATTTTTTTTTTTTTAGAGTTTCTTCTAAAAATTACAGCTGGGTGTAACAGAAAAAAAAATGATAACCGAGTGGTTTATTGAAAAAATCATTGAATAGTGCGATGACTACATAACTGTAATATGAGTAATTATGAGGAGTAACAAAATATTATTTTAGTGATTAATTTTAAAAAAATGAAATTGGCTCTTCAAAATTAGGTCCTTAAATTTTAATTAAAAATTGATCCAATAATAAAATTGAATTAGACTTAGGTCTACGCAAAAAAAATCCAAAAATGATTAATCTAAAACAAAGCTCAATCAAGTTCAATTCAATTAAAATATTTTCATCAGCCTAAATCAAAATGTTAGAATTAAGCATAAAATTAAACACATTCAAACTAACCCAAACAAAATTAGATGTCGGCAACTGCCTCTCTTTGTACATTACTAAGAATAAGAAATAGGATAAAGACATAGACAACAATTTTGTTTGGACTTATCAATTCAGGGTTTTTTCAAAAGTTTTTTTTTATTGATTTTCTTTTTTTGGAATTTTCTTTTCATTTTTTTGGTTTTTTATTTTTTAGAGAAGTTTACAAAGCTGAAAGTGATCTAGATTGAACCACAATTAAGAAATAAAATGATAGGAACTAAACTACAAGTTGAAGAATACAATGACTGGGACTGAACCACAAGTCAGGAAATAAAAATTAATGAGATTGAACTACAAGTTAGGAAATAAAGATGAACGGGATGAAACCACAAGTCAAGAAATAAAAATGACTGGGATTAAATCGCAATTGAGAAATAAAATGACTAAGACTAAACTACAAGTTAAAGAATTATAATAACCGAGATTGAACCACAAGTTAGGAAATAAAAATTACCGAAATTAAACCACAATTGAGAAATAATAATGATCTGGACTAAACCACAACTGAGAAATAAAATAACCAGGATTAAACTGCAAGTCAAAGAATAATAATAATCAAGACTAAACTGTAAGTTAAGAAATAAAAACTATCAGAATTGAACGCAAGTCTGGAAATAAATATGACCAAGACTAAACCATGATCAAGAAATAAAAATGATCAATATTGAATCATGAGTGGAAAAATTAAGATGACCGAAACTAAACTATGAGTTAAAGAGTAAAAATGACCAAGACTAAATCACAAGTTAGAAAAAAAATAACCAAGACTGAACTACGAGTCGAAGAATAAAGATGATTGGAACTAAGCTGCAAGTTAGGAAATAAAGATGACCAAGACTAAATCACGAGTCAAAGAGTAAAGATGAGTGAGACTGAATCATAAGTCAAGCAATAAAGATGATCGAAATTGAACCATGAGTCAAAAAAAAAGATGACCAAGACTAAGGTACAAGTCAAAAAAATAAGAGAAACTAGGATTGAGCCATAAGTCAAGAAATAATAACGACTAGAGCTAAACCATAAGTTAAAAAATAAAAATGATCGATATTGAACCGCAAATTAGGAATAAAGACAACTAGGATTGAGTTGTAAGTCAAAGAATAAAGATGATAGAGGCTAAACTACGAGTCAAAAAATAAAGATGATCAGGATTGAACTACGAATCAAAAAATAAAGATGACTAAGACTAAGCTATGAGTCAGAAAATAAAAACAATCAAAATAGAACCATAAGTCAAAGAGTAAAAATGACCGAAACTGAGCCTCAACTCAAGAAATAAAAAAGATTGGGATTAAACTCTAAGTCCAAGAATAAAGATGACTGGGTACTCCATAAATCAATAGTCAAGGTTTGGGGTGCTTTATAAAATTTGACCACCTTGGACTAGATTTTTCTCCAAAAACTCATAACATTTGCAATCTCGCTATATTTGATCTCATATAACTAATCATTGCCCTACACTTACCCTAAAAGTCATTTCATTTAACTCTGATGTGGATTTGTCCAACCATATGTCGTCTTTTCATTTTTTTTTAAGGGTTTCCTCCTAACTCCACCTTTATTTAAGCTGTTTTTTTTTAAGTTTTTAGTTTAAACGATCACCTTTTTTAGTTTAAATCTCACCACTTCCAAGTTTTCAATTTGAATCATCTATTTTTTCTTTTTCTCTTTTTTGTGTTTTTTTCTTCATTTTTTTTTATTTTTATTTTTTTAGGCCATCAGGGATTTTAAAAATTTTAAAATCTTAACTTTGAAATTTAAAACATTATGCCTGGAAGACTTAAAAATCATGACATTAAAAATAGATTCAGCTCAGAAGACTTACGAATTTCATCTAGAAGACTTAGAAACTATGCTTAGAGGTCTTCTAAGTCTTAACACTTAAACAGATTTTGCTCAAAAAATTTACGAACTTATATGAAAGACTTAAAGATTATGCTTGGAGGTCTTATAAATTTTGATACCTAAAAGTGCTTCTCTAAAAAGAAACCTTAAAAATTTAAAATTTAAACATTCTACCTAGAGACTTATAATCATTTTCTAAGAATTTGCTTCCTAAAAAAAATGACACATTAACTTTTTAAGGCTTCTTGAAGTTCAGGTATCACCACTAAAAAGAACTCAAATATCACCATCGAGTGAATTTGCAAGTGATAGTTAACATGATTGCTCGAATATCACTATTGAGAAAATATGCAAATTCAGACTAGGATACTTAGATATAACCACCTAGTGAATCCAAATGTTTTTGGATATCACCATTGAAGAAATGTCAGATATCACTACCGAGAAATCTTTGAAAAAAATTGATCATAACATTTTCATTAACAAATGTCAATTTTATTGGGCTTAAAATTTAAGTGCCAGCTAAACTGAGCTTTAATCTTGTCAGTACCAACTAATCTGAGCTTAAAATGCCAACTCAATTGGGCTTAAAATTTGGATGTCAGCTAATCTTGGCTTGAGTGCCAGTTAATTTGGGCTTAAAATGCCAACTAATCTAAGCTTGGGTGATAGCTAATCTAGGTTTAAGAGTCATCTAATCTATGCATAAAGTGCCAGCTAATCTAGGGTTAAAATGCCAACTAACCCGGGCTTGGTGCCAGTTAATCTGCATTTAAAAACTAGATAATCTAGGCATCCAATGCTAGCTAATCTGAGCTTGGGTGTCAGCTAATTTGGGCTTAAAAGCTAACTAATTTAAGCATAAAGTGCTAGTTAATCTGAGCTTAAGTGACAACTAATCTGGGCTTCGAATCTAATTGGTGCTAGCTAAACTAGGCTTGAATCTTATCAATGCCAGCTAAACTGAGCTTGGTGCCAGCTAGACTGGGCTTAAATCTCATCTCTTTCAAAAATTTTTAACATTTAATCCTTTTAAAACTCAACTTATTATATCTCATCTTCTTTCCATTCATTTTTTCAACGTCCTTTTCGCTTTTACAGATCCTTTTTCTTTCGACTTTTAAATTCTTTTGACATTTTGGCCTCTTGTTAAACTGTTTTCTCTTTTTCTTATTTCCTTTTCATTTTTCTCATGATATATTTTTTTGCTCTCCTTTTCCTTTTCTTTTTTTTTCTAGTTTTTTTTTTCTTGACAGATTTTTTTTTTAACAAACTTTTTCCTTGATAATTTCACTTTCTTTCTTTTTTGGTTTTTATTTTTTTCTAAAACTCAAAAGAATGGCCACATTTCTTATTTATTCAATGTTTACAAAATTGACAAATACAATATGATGCAAGTGTATAATCTTAAAATAAATGGTAAAAATGTGTATGTCTCTACACCAATGCAAATAATCATAGATGGCAAATATTTTTCTAGTAATGGCAATGCAAATGACTTTTCATGATACAAATGTACCTGACAAATATACGATGCAAAACTTATCCGCATGATGCAAATGTCAATATTTTTTTATGTAGAAGCCCTTACAATGATGCAAATGCAAAGTTTATTTTTCATGATGCAAATGTATCCAACAAAGATGTAAATACAAAATTTTTACCAACAAATTTCCTTTACAAGATGCAAATGCCCCATACAAATGTAAACACCAATTTTCATACATGGTATAGATGCCCTAAAAATATAAATGCAAATTTGCAAATTCAATTATATTTTCAATGATGCAAATGATTCTTGTAATTACAAAATTTAGTTTAAAAAATGCAAATGCCCATGTAAAAATTTCATGATGAATATGCCCAAGTATGGATGCAAACACCAATATTTAAAATGGTAATACATTTTTGTGTCAAAAAATACAAATGCTAAAACTACCTTTTTTCCAAAAATTTTTTTCTCAATTCTACTTATTTCCCATTGCCTATCAAATTAAGTCTTTAACTTTTTTTCTAAAATGATCTCAATTGACCTTTTCCTATTCTTTCACCTATTTTCATCTTGTTTCCTCACCAAGTTTTCCTTTCTTTGCTTTTCAAATGGGCTTTATCAGTTTTCCTTTCATTTTTCAACACATTTTCTTTTTTATTTCCATTTTCATACAACATATAACATGTATTTTGAACTTCATTGCAAAATCAAGAAGACAAACCACCACGTTCCTCCTAAAAAAATCTTTTTTTCCTTTTCCTTAATGCTTTAATGAAGACATTTTTCTTTCTTAAATCTAAACCAGTCTAAAGGTTCTCACAATTTGATAATTTTTTTACACCGAAACATGA